CCTCTCTCGTCCCGAGGATTTGCGCGAATAGCAGTTAAGCCGCGGCCGGTGATTTGTGCGATATCGTCCGTCGTCCTTATCAGCCCGTGGAATCGGACGCGCACGCCTGAATCTTCCCCTAGTAATTTTATCTCGGTTGAGGGTTCAAGTTGCGTACCTCCGACGAGAATTCCGTTTCGCCGAACGGACGATCCGCGTCACGGAGAGCGAGCTTCTAACGACACCCTCTTCCTCGTTGCGCGAAACTGGAGCCGAGGAACTGCGTCGCGACGACGCAACAAGCCATTCGTTATGATGGGAACGATCATTTTTGGCTCAATTCTTCGAATCGTATTAATTTAACTTTCATGAAATAGCTGCAAGCTGATTGGCTACACACAGTACTGGCGTTAGGGCGGGGCGCGGTTGGGCGATCGCCCAGGGCGCCAAATCTGTAGGGGCGCCGCTGCCTGGTTTCACCTAGTTTGAGAGTGAGAGAGATTCCCTGAAATATAAAAACAAAAAGGGGCTCGTCGTTCGATATTATCACCCTGTCTTTTCTTTCGCAAGAATTTCGAGCCCTTGAATTTGAATGGGCGCCACGATAATCTTGCCCAGGGCGCCAATGTTGCTAGAACCGGCACTGGCTACACATTTCTCGAAAGTAGAACTTGGACCAAGTTCTAGCATCGCCTAAAACCGCCTGTTTTATCGACATTCTTTGTTAAAAGTAATCTTTTAATTGGCTTTATAGAAAGGCAAAACTCTTTTACGGAATTAAAGTACGCAGCAAAATCTAGACTATGCTGGTCGACTTTATATCAAACACGAAAAAAATTTTAATTTTACTAATTTTTTATACACTTGACGACAATAATTGCTTGATATTTTTAATTGCTCTTCGTTCTTTATATAAAGTCGTGAATCCCCCGCTTTGCTTTTATGCGTACTATAATCGTGTGGAAGAATTGTGTAATTTTATAAAGCCAATTTCAAATTGCTCACGATTATAAAATTGAAAATGTCAAATACCAATATCTTTTCCATTAGACTTCCGACCTGAGTGTTTTAAGTATGAAAATGTTCTGCTATGCGGTCCGCAACTTATCCTGGCATTATTTTGTGTAATGAAAACATATTCGAATGTGTTGGTAAAACAGATGACTTTAGGATCCTCGATCACGAGACGTGAGTTCTCCGTTATCGAAAGAACAGCATTCGATTGCCGTCTGCGGGATTCAATTTTGCCACGTAGATGACATCTAACGAGCACGCCTTTCTCTCATCCAACGATGAAGAGTCAAAATTCGATCGTCCATCGGAGAGTTGCCCCGTCACGATATTATATTACAGCGGTACGGAAAATCGTGTAGTAACGCTAGAAGAAAGTGTACGACGAAATTCCTGGCTGCGATCTCGTTAAACGTTGCAGATAATTTTCGCCCTCGACAGACGGAAGTCGAACGCGGCCGGATTATGTCATGCCGTGTCGGCGAAATCGCAATGTGGTTTCGCGCGACAATCCGGATCGGTGCTCGCGCTTAAACGGCAGCCGCGCGGTGATCGCGCATTTCACGCACGTGCGCCTCGCCGGACAAATGGGATTAAGCCAGATGACGAAAGTCACTCCGCCTCGGAGCCGCGCCGCGCCGGCCGGTTGAAATTCCACGATGACGCGGGGAGAAAAATGGCCCCGGGGATAAAGTACAAAGAGCGAAGGAGGAAACAGTTTTGTTCCGTAAAATAGCGAGATTTATCACGGCGAGTCGGCCGGAATTTAGATGACGCGAAACGTACAGCTTCGAATACCGAGGGGTCTCCGGTTTCCCAGCTCGTTGGGAAGAGTCCCCGCGTTTCTGGTCCGATGGTTCATAAAATGATGAGCAAACGAAGCCGCCGGCCATAAGGAAAAGCAATCCCGGCGGTTTTCGCCGTGCGGGAGGACGGGAAAGAGCGCGCGAGAGAGAGAGAGAGAGAGAGAGAGAGCGCGGAGAGAGAGAGAGAGAGAGAGAGAGAGAGAGAGAGAGAGAGAGAGAGAGAGAGAGAGAGAGAGAGAGAGAGAGAGAG